TATCTCATGGAAGGGGTGACTAACCTTCCTTGGCTCAAGGGCACATTCTTCTTGGCTATCTCTCAAGGACCACATGCTAGCAGTTGGGAGTCTAAACTATGGTTACCAATTTTTTTTCAATAAATCCGGGGGGGAAACTTCTTTTTTCTTCTTCTTTTTTTAAGCTAAGTAGCAACAAGGAGTCAGTTAGTGGGAATGGCGAGGCAAAAGACCCTGGGCCCAAGCACACATGCATATTGTATAAATGTGCAAAGCCCTTCTTTCGCACCCTGTGAAACATAAATGCGCAGAGTTTTTTTTCAAAAACTGGGCAAATGGTGTGCCCAAGCCTTCCCCGATCTCCTTCCCCCTTCCCCTTCCCTCTGACAGAACAGGGGAGGCTCAGGAGTCATGGGCAGGCGGCCGTTGCCCAGGAGGGGCCAGCCTGGTAGTGCAGTTTGCTCTGGCTGGCTTCAGGAGATGCTCGCTGCCATGGTGCAGGAAAAAATGGCGGGTGCCACAGCAGCGAGCAGTGCTAACAGGCTGGCTCTGGGCTGCTGAGGCTGCTGCTGCCACATTTCCTGGGGACAGATTTGCAAATCTGGGGACATTCCGGGGACAGAATTTGTCCGGGGACAGATTTGCAAATCCGGGAACTGTCCCCTGGTACGTCTGGGTAACCCTAGTCTAACCAAAGTGAGAATAGTGCCCCCCCCCTCTCTCACACAGAAGCACACAGCTTCTCCCTCCGCAGATTAGCAGAGGGAAGGTTATCGGTTTTTCTCTGCTTACCAAATGATTGTTCAGTTGACCGAAAAGGGGGCAATGCGCATCTCCACCAGGATACTGGGTTCTGCCAACCTCTGATTGAGCAGAGGCAACAGTGAATGGGGACTCCTCTCAACTCTCTAAACTAAACAAATACATTTTCTGTCTCCAGCCTTTGTGTCCGGCAAAACAGATGCACACTTTTTGACAACTTTGCTTATTGTCAGGGACGGTGCTGAGGGGGGTTACAACGAGGAGCCATTGTGGGTGCCGCCTCCTTTTCCCCCTGACCCTGAATCTCCCCAGGAGCAGGAGGGCAGTATAGATTTAGAACAGTGGTTTGCAGAGGGGCATAGCTCAGAAGGGAAAAGCTGGGAAATACCAGATGAAGAGCAGCTAGGAGAAGAAACACATTGGAAGAGAGAGGGTTAACGGATTCACAGTCACTGGACAACATCCCCCTTCCCCCCTCCCCACGTTCTAGGAGAGGTGAGAAAGTTGCTGAATAGAAAGCAAAGAGACTTCAAGATCAGGGTACCAGACGTGGAGGTGATGTGGATTGAGAGAGGGACAGGCGGGGCGGAGTGTAGCCTTAACTGAAAACACCACAATTCTTAAAGGGAGATGTTCGTTATACCTTGCTGTGATTATTAAAGAATTCTAACTGGTAAGAAGACTCCGTTCAGTATGTTCTGTTTATCTACTGCCGGGGGGTGGAGGGGAGGAAGTCGATTCCTTGAAGCCTGACATTTATAAACCTAACTTTTAAACTGAAACAGCTAACTTAGTTATTTTGAAAAAGTTTCACTTGTTTGTTACAGACAAGTTAGACTGTTAGACCAGCCCAATCAAAATGCAGTGGTACCTCGGGTTAAGAACTTAATTCGTTCTGAAGGTCTGTTCTTAACCTGAAACTGTTCTGAACCTGAAGCACCACTTTAGCTAATGGGGCCTTCAGGTTACACACGCTTCAGGTTACAGACTCCGCTAACCCAGAAATAGTACCTCAGGTTAAGAACTTTGCTTCAGGATAAGAACAGAAATTATGCTCTGGCGGCATGGCAGCAGCAGGAGGCCCCACTGTAGTCAGGGATGAACCTTGGTGGGGGGTCACGTCATCATCATTTGTTCTTTATTTCATTTTGCTAGACCAGGCATAGGCAAACTCAGCCCTCCAGATGTTTTGGGACTACAACTCCCACCATCCCTAGCTAACAGGACCAGTGGTCTGGGATGATGGGAATTGTAGTCTCAAAACATCTGGAGGGCCGGGTTTGCCTGTGCCTGTGCTAGACAGACGTATGAGATGCCTGTAAATCTCTTGGGAGTGTTATTCCTACAATCATTGGTGAAGAATGATTTAGAGGTGGAAACACTCTGGGTGAATCCTGAGGGATGTAGATGCATGAGGTTCAGTATGGGAATGAAATCTTGAGAGAATTCTGCCTATCCCTTATAATACCTATAAAACAACTTTAATTTACCTTCATTTCATTTCATTTTATGCTATTCATATGAATTAAATATTTCCAAATCATGAATAATAATTGTATTTTTAGGGGGGGGGGTATTTTTAAATCCCAGACCTATCCTCACATCTGTCAGGAGAGATATAAAATAAAACTATTCAAAGCTTGGCATTAAATTTTGTCTTCAGTTTAGGCTCTGTCTCTTTTTCACAACATCAATTTTTGTCTCTGGAGTTTCTGAAAAGTTAGATTAAAAATATGCCATAGTGCTTCGGTGTACTATTTCCTTTGTAAACATCATTCCAAGTAAGCCTTCTTTTTTTAATCCCAGCCTCCGCTGATTTATTAAAATCATCTTACCGCTGTTGATGAATAATTCTGCAAGGTGCTCCTTAGAGAAATCAGAATCTATCTTCACTTTGACAATTTCACAGCTGAATCCTGCAGCCAGTTGCTTGTGCTGTGTTAAAAATTCACAAATTCAGCAAAGGTGAATAATAGGCTCTTTCTACCCACCCTCCATGCCCCCTGCCAAAATGTTGTATAGTTTTATCTTCTTACCTTCATACAGAGGGCTATTTGGTACGCCACATAATCTTGCAAGCTTCCTTCTGGACCATGGAAGATAATATTGCGGTACTGTTCCACCTATAGATAAACACAGTAATATTTATATGTACTTTCACAGGCCTGTTTTAAAATGAATGAAAAGAGGTGTTTATTGTTCTTTAGACATTGCTTATAGTGCAATCACATAGATGTCTACTCAAAAGCAAGTCCCACTGAATTAAAAGGGACTTTGCTCCCAAGAACCTGCTATGTAGGATTGCAGCCTTACAGATTTTGAAAAATGTAATTAGAACACGGGTGGCCACCTGGTACCCATTTCAATGCGGGGGGAAATGCTCACAGCCAGCAGCTTATAAAATGATAACAGTTAATTGCTCTGTTTCTATTCAGGGTTCATAAAAGCATTAAGGACCATTCTACCATCCCTACATCACAAGTCTGGAAGGATGAGTGCCCCTATAATGATGCTTTTGATTCTTAGTACAGTGGTACCTCGCGTTAAGAACTTAACTCGTTCCGGAGGTCCATTCTTAACCTGAGGTACCACTTTAGCTAATGGTGCCTCCCGCTGCCGCTGCGCCACTGCCACGCGATTTCTGTTCTCATCCTGAGGTAAAGTTCTTAACCAGAGGTACTACTTCCGGGTTATCGGAGTCTGTAACCTGAGGCGTCTGTAACCTGAAGCATCTGTAACCTGAGGTACAGTCGTACCTCAGTCCGTTCTTAAACCGAAACCATCCTTAAACCGAGGCACGCTTTCCCTAATGAGGCCCCCGCTGCCGGTGCCCATCCACCGTTCGGCTTCCATTCTTAGACCGAGGTAAAGTTTGCGAACCGGGACACTACTTCTGGTTTTGCGGAGTTCATAAACCGAATCATTTGTAAACAGGGCTGTTCTTAAACCGGGGTACCACTGTACTGTATAATGTCTTAACTGGAGTGAATGTTAATAAAGACACCAGTCAGTTATTACCCCTGAAACAGAAAATCAAAATGCCATTTAATATCAAATGCCAGGATGTAAAGTGCTACTTTGGGTTCATCCAAGGACTTGATCAGCAGAGTTGTTGTATTTTCTACCCTTTAACCAGTAGATCCCTGTGACATTTTACCAAGTGTCAAAAGCAATGGCGTGCAGTCCTGCTATTTGAGAATCCCCTTGGCTGCGCAGAATGAACCGTGCAATTCTTTGGACTGTGAGCATGATTTAGGTGGTTTTTCAAAAATCTATGTATCTGGATAGAATAACTACAGAGGAGGGCTTTTCAAGTATTCTGCGTTTCCTGTGCTGCTATTCCTGGAACGAAATCTAACGCTCGTGTCTCAGTTTCCTAGCAACGTAACTACCTGTAAAGGGTTCTGAAGATAAGTTTACAAATTGAATTCCAAGAGGACTAAATTAGCTCTCTACCACTGTAATAGCCATGTCCTTTGAAGGCTAACTTGCCACTCCTGAGAATTTTGCTTCCTTGCTTTTAAGTGGAAACAGATAGTAAAAGGAACTTTATAGTAAGTGAACTCGGTGTACGAAACTTTAGTGAAGCTTTATAGCAGGGAAGGGTGAGCTGTTTGCAGGCTGAGGTCTGCATTCCCTCAAGGACAACCTGTCAGCGGTAGGTGGGGAATTAGAGGTGAAAGGAGAGAGAGACAGAGAGAGAGAGAGAGAGAGAGAGAGAGAGAGAGAGAGCAACAAATGCAACTCACAATGTTATAATGTGACTCGTTCCAGCCTGGCAAAAGCATGTGAAGGGCTGGTGAAGGAGGCAATAGGATGGTGCAGTCCAGGGGGCCAGAAACGTAGCCCTTGGGTCTGAGAATTAGTTCCCCATCTTGCTGTTACATGTCAGTTCTGTTGCCCTGATAGTTACCGTATTTTTCGCTCTATAGGACGCACCGGACCATAGGAGGGGGAGAACAGGGGAAAAAAATTCTCCCCCTCTCTGCTCAGCGCCCCTTCAGCGAAGCGGCACGAGAAACGGAGCCCCTTCCATTTCTCTTCCTGCTTCACTGAAGGGACGCTGTGCGGAGAAGGAAAACTGTGCAGCGCCTCTCCAGCAAAGCGAAGCCTGGAGGCGGCTATCCAGCCTTCAGGCGGCTATCCGCAAGCCTTCGGAGCGCAGCGGGAACTCCTGCTGCGCTCCGAAGGCTTGCGGATAGCTGCCTGAAGCCTCCGGAGAGCAGTGGGAATTCCCGCTGTGCTCTGGTGGCTTCAGGCGGCTTCAACGAAAGCAATGCGAAGCCTCTGGAGCATGGGGGGGGGGGAATTCTCCCTCTGCGCTTCGGAGGCTTCGCGTTGCTATCGCTGAAGCCAAGAAGCTTGCATTCGCTCCATAAGACGCACACACATTTCCCCTTAATTTTTGAAGGGGAAAAAGTGCGTCTTATAGAGCGAAAAATATGGTAAATGAAGCACCCATGTTCAGAGGCAATGCTCCTCTGAATCACATTTGCTGGTATGGGAGGGCTGGTTGCCATCACAGCTCGTCTGTGGACTTTGCACCCGGGCAACTTTTTGGGAACAGGGTGCCGGATCAAAGTGGACCTTGGAACTGATCCAGCAAGGCTCTCTTTATAGCCTTAAGAAAGCAGTAGCATTCTGGCACAGGTAGAGAAAACCAGCAAGATAATAAGAGTTAAGACTTGCATTCTTCAAAGCCCATAGACCGGGAGAAAATATTCTGTGCCAACACTGTTTTGTGCCTTTCTAGAGTGGCTGCTTCGCTAATTCATTTTTCAGAGCAGCAGAATGGAACCACTTGTCGTAGTGGGGACATAGCGATAAAAGATTCCAATTGCTCAAAAGCAACCAGGAGCCCATTACAGTGGTACCTCTGGTTACGTACTTAATTCGTTCCGGAGGTCCGTTCTTAACCTGAAACTGTTCTTAACCTGAAGCACCACTTTAGCTAATGGGGTCTCCTGCTGCCGCCGCGCCGCTGCCACACGATTTCTGTTCTCATCCTGAAGCAAAGTTCTTAACCTGAGGTAATATTTCTGGGTTAGCGGAGTCTGTAACCTGAAGCGTATGTAACCCGAGGTACCACTGTAGTTTAAAAGATCTCAAGAGGAGGACTGAGGGTGCAGTCACACAACTATTTTACTACCACTTCAACATGGGTTCTGTCATCATGGTCAGATCCATGAGAAACTTGGTTATCTGAATCAGTCCATAACGTATTTGGCTCTTGGCAGAGAAGACAAATGAGGAAAAAAATCTGTATGATGCAGAGGTTCGAGCACTGGCTCGCTTCTAGAGAGTACTGTAGAAGGGCACAGCTCAGGAGACTGTCCCCCAAACAGTTAGAAAACACAATAAGTTTGTTAATTTTTACAAAACGATTGCGGTGGAGAGAGACGAACGTTGCTAAGGCAGAACTAAGCTGATCCTTACCAGCCTGAGGTAATTCTGCAGCGTCTGAAGATGGATCATAGATGTATAAGTCACACTGTGCAGACAGCCTTCTTGAGGACCTTTAAAGGAAAGGATACAAAAGAAAACAACCCTAAGCTCTGTGGGGGGTTAAGCTGCAGCCAGAGCTGTGATAAATGAGCACATTTTTTGGACACCAGACTATAGGGATCCCTGCAGTCCTAAAGAGGTTCTGCTTTCCCCAGCTTGCTGCACTTTCATTCCCTGCTTCTGTCTCATTTTCTTGCCCTTGGAATCTCTGCAACTTGCCCTTTCTTTCATCCTACCAACCATGATGAATCTTTCCAGTGGTTGGACTCCCCAGATCAGGTACTCCCGAGAAGCTATTTTCTGAAATTACTGCCACACAATAAATACAAGCGTTCAAGAATCCTCTCAGCCTGGCCAGATGCAAATTGTGCAGACTTCAGAAAGAGGCACAGACATTTAATTCTGCTGTGGTTTTTGCACATGTCTACTTAGAAGTAAATATATTTATGCTTAATGGAGCCTAGTCCCAGGTTAAGTGGCACACAATGCCAGCTGGAGCAATAAGGAAACAAAATGACTTTGTGCTTTTTTCTTAAGCGCTGTGGGTTAAACCACAGAGCCTAGGACTTGCCAATCAGAAGGTCGGCGGTTTGAATCCCCGTGACGGGGTGAGCTCCCGTTGCTCAGTCCCTGCTCCTGCCAACCTAGCAGTTCGAAAGCACGTCAAAGTGCAAGTAGATAAATAGGTACTGCTCCGGCAGGAAGGTAAACGGCGTTTCCATGCGCTGCTCTGGTTCACCAGAAGTGACTTAGTCATGTTGGCCACATGACCCGGAAGCTGTACGCCGGCTCCCTCGGCCAATAAAGCGAGATGAGCGCCGCAACCCCAGAGTCGGCCACGACTGGACCTAATGGTCAGGGGTCCCTTTACCTTTTTAATGGCAAAAATGGTGAACTACGAAAGCAACACCATTTTAAAAACGAAAGCCGATCACTCTGCTTTCCACAGTGGTTAGAGGCCTAAATTAACTCCTTTTGGTAATTAATCCACTGTACAGCTGGGATTAAGCTCGATTGAGCATAAGTGGGACTTATTCAGACCACAATAAGGCTGGTTGAAGACTTGAAGCTCTGCTAATTTGCATATTGGGGTGGGGAGGGAAAGACATGGCCCCTTATAATACAAAGATGAATCAGTCTGGTTAAACAACCCAAAATTTAATGCCTATGATACAAGCTCTAAGTCTCCTTTTGCAGCCATTTTATGCCTCTTTCTATATCTTCACAGCAGTCATGTGAGTGGGCAAGAGTAACCAAAGTCAGGAAGTGAGCAAAAACAATGTGAAACTGCACATGCTCAGAGTATTTGCTTTTTGTTTATCCAGGCTGACTAATAATAATAATAATAATAATAATAATGTGTGCGTGTTTTGCTGAGAGTTGTGAAACTGCATATTGTGAAGGGCATTTTTTAAAATATGGATCACAAATATTATTCTCATATTTTCACTAGACAGGACTATTTTGTGGCTATAAACCTCCCTGCTTTCCTTGTTGTTCAGGTTTTCCCTTTTGAACATATTGAAGCAAAGCTTCTCTATTCACTGAACTTCAAAGCTTAATAAGAATGTAGCATGTAACTACTTAAGATGACAACTGTCAGCAAACCATTGGCTATCCATCACAATAAACATTTACGAAAATATGTGAAGCCAAAGTAGGAGCAGACATACTTACCAAGCAAAAATATGATTATATGTTCCACCTGATTCCTTTTCAAAAATTCCCAAGGTGGTTGAGGAAATGCCTGACCTATTGACCACGAAACATTGCCTGTTAAGAAGAACATGAAATCGGTCATACTTATATACACAAACACACAACACATCTATATTTGAAGACACTTGTATATGCCATGTCACATGAATTTAAATTTGGTTAGTTTTAATGAATATTTAATGGAAATATAAACCGTTAGTGTTTTAAAAAGCTTTACATAGTGCCCCAGAGTGCTTTGGGCAACACAGTCAGATGGATGGGGTACAAAAATAATAAAGTTATCATCATTACTATTAAACAATAATGTCTACTCTTTTTTTTTTAAAAAGGAATTTGCAATTCGTTTGGATTCCTGGAAATGTCGTATCTCAAACTAAGGACACAAGTTTCACCCCACTTCTGGCTTTACCTACCAAGGTTGCATAATATGGCACCTTTCTTATTCTGTAATGTTTAAAAGCTACCATGACATAGGGGACTAAGAAAAACAAGCTTATACTGAAAGTCTAGAGTTGGCTCCAGAGTGTGGCCAATTTGCCAGGGACGAACATCAACAGAAGGTCCACTGCCCTTTTCTACGTTGCGCAGAGTACCCAGACAGATCAGATGCAGCCTAAGGGAATTCTTAGTTTACATGCCCCACTTGTTTCTTTATTTAAAGCATTTATACTCGGGGGTGGCGCTGTGGATTAAACCACAGAGCCTAGGACTTGCCGATCAGAAGGTCAGCGGTTCGAATCCCCGCGACGGGGTGAGCTCCCGTTGCTCGGTCCCTGCTCCTGCCAACCTAGCAGTTCGAAAGCACGTCAAAGTGCAAGTAGATAAATAGGTACTGCTCCGGCGGGAAGGTAAACGGCGTTTCCGTGTGCTGCTCTGGTTCGCCAGAAGCGGCTTAGTCATGCTGGCCACATGACCCGGAAGCTGTATGCCGGCTCCGTCGGCCAATAAAGCGAAATGAGCGCGCAACCCCAGAGTCGACGACTGGACCTAATAGTCAGGGGTCCCTTTACCTTTACTATACTCTGTCATCACAGGGTGATGAGGAATTGTGCTGGATGCAGAAGGGAATGGGATGGGATGACGGCCATCGTGTGGTCTAAGTGACAGGAGAGGTACATTCTTTTGGCACTGGGAGTTTGGACTGAGGTGCAAACCCAGCCAGAGAGAGGTACCGTATACAATGTAGTTTTATAGAAAGCAACAAATAAGGCTTCCAGAATTGTCAGCTAGCCTCATACCATTTCAAAAGATGTATTAAACACTCCACTACTCACTCAGTCCCCCGACACACCACATGAAAGTGCTCTAACTGAAATTGCGAGTCACCTTGGGAGCACTTTGTCCTGAAAAGTAGCATATTAATATCATAATGAAACATCTGGAGGGCACAAAGTTAATGTATTGGCATTTACTTGTTTAATCATGGCTCGATTTTGGCCTTTGGGTAAGTATATACAGAGAACAAATAGGTTTCTTTATATTCCATCAGTCCATTGCATAAGGTAAAAAAGAAAAGGTAAAGGTCCCCTGAATGATTAAGTCCAGTCAAAGGCAACTATGGGGTGCGGCGCTCATCTTACTTTCAGGCCGAGGGAGCTGGTGTTTGTCCACAGACAGCTTTCCAGGTCATGTGGCCAGCATGACTAAGCCGCTTCTGGTGCAACAGGACACCGTGAAGGAAACCAGAGTGCACGGAAACGGCGTTTACCTTCCCACCACAGCAATACCTATTTATCTACTTGCACAGGTGTGCTTTCAAACTGCTAGGTTGGCAGGAGCTGGGACAGAGCAACGGGAGCTCACCCTGTTGCGGGGATTCGAACCGCCGACCTACTGATCGGCAAGCCCAAGAGACTCAGTGGTCTAGATCACAGCGCCACCCGCATCCCCTCAATTGCATAATACACCAGGAGTTCAGTACAACGCTCTTAGCCAAGATACTTGTTGCATACCATGTAACCCAAAACATAGAGCAATTTTCTTTTCCTTTTTTTACAAAGCTAAGAGTGCTAATAGATACCAAGTTTGATGGATAATATACTGCTTGCAGTGAGGCCGACGGTGGATTCTGTGGTGTTATTAAGTGTCAAGTCTTCTGGGCTCTTCCATCCATCAGAAGTGATTGCTTGGAAATGGTTTGCCACTGCCTGGCTCACTGCTTTTGAAAAATCATCCCATGCTGTCTGCTTGCGGATGTTTAACACGCATATAGTGTTTTCCATTTCGAGATCATCTGTACCACAATGGGCTGGCTCCACCTGGCTAAGTGCAATCCATAAAGGTATCTTCAGAGCATCTGTTTAAATAGAATGGCAGAACTTGAATGTAGCAAAATCTAGATGCAATGACACAGTTACAATTAATAAAAGAAAAATATGAGTATTCATCCATACATCTCAAAAGCAACATGCAATCCCTGGGTACGGTTGGTAGCTCCATCAGATAGAATATAAATTCAAGTTTGTTTCCTGTATAGCCTTTTTTTAATCATTTGATCTAGCTGTAGGGAAACCTCAAAAAGTGTCTGTGATAGAATCAATACATCACACACAGAAAAGGCTTTTATGTACGAAAGTTTGTGGCTTGCATAATGACCATCATGTGTGACAACAGAACAATTGTGTCCACCTTTTGGTTTCCATGAGGTCTGAACTACTCCAAAGTAATCATAGGGGAGTATTTTAGGCTTCCCCACAGCACTTCAGAATTCCTGTTATTGAGTATAATCCATGCTGATCTCATTTTAAATTTGATTGATGGTACAGGTAGATTCAGATTATGTTTGATAAGGTGTTATGACTGCCAATTAATGGACCTGCGTTTGAACTGCTGGTACTGGGCTCCCTTCCTGCACACATGGTTTTTCCAATTCAGAAAGGTGATGCAGTCCATAATGTTGCTGTTAGCATGGTTGTCATGGAGACAGATGGCATTTAAATAACTATTTCTGCACCACCTGTGGAAATGCCAACAACTTATAAAGGGACCACCTGGGCATGACTGCTCTAACTGCCAGTTCAAACACATCATACCCCAGTACCTAAATAACTCCGAACAACCTTCATGAAGAGTAATGCCTCAGTTAAAAAAACTCGAATGATTCCACAATCACTTATTCAACTTCTGAAACTGCTAGGACTGTTTTTCTAACATTTAATTAAAAACCTGTCTGCTGAATTCCACTAGTTCTTGGCCTTGTTTCCATATGTGGGAAGAAAGATCCCCACTTCTGACGCCCTCTTACGCATTTTGAGAGCGTTGGCATGCTTTCATCTTTTGCCAGTTCTTTACCTATTCTTTCTACCTTCCTTCATATTCTTTGTATTCTGGGCATTCATCATCTTTACAACAGGGAAAGCACAGAGGCAGTCTCTCCTCTGTGCTGTGCTTTAGCCCACATACAACTATACTAGAGCTGAGCTGAAATTTCTCATAAGTCATCATTAGAGGAAAATGCTAAGGTTTTTCTTTTTCTCGCCCTTCTACAAAAAAAAAGCCATTTTGAAAAATGTTCTTGGAAGGTTTTCTACCATTTTACACACACACACACACACACACACACACACACACACACAATCACCATCAAAACTGGATGCCTTCATCTACCTCACCTGCAATAAAATATACAGTATCTCTCCCACAGCGGCCTCTACAGCCACAGCAGGTGCTGTAGCCCTCCAACAGTTTGACTTTACCCCTCTTCCATCGCCTTACGAGATGCGAAAAATAAGAAATATATAAGGAAAAGCTGTGCTAATGAGCCCCAAACCTCAATAAACTGTTTGGATATTTCTCCCTCTCTCTGGAGAGGTTTGCTGAAAAGCTCTTCTCGGTTTCTTTGCCCACAAATAGGGTGGACAATTTTGAGAAGCCATTTGCGGGTGGCTCTAGCTTATAATTATGTTATACTCTGGCCAAATCGCAGGTTCAACATTCTGAATGGCTTGATTATAATGCCTAAGTACTAGTTATACATGCAGTAAGGTAGAAATATGATGTGTCCCTTTGTTCTGTTCTGATCTCAATGCTATAGTTATTATGAAGTATAAAAAGGCATCCGGTATTCACAACAAAATAGTATTAAAATATACTGCTGGTTCGCATTTTATCTTCTGTGATTCCAAGAGTAGGCTTTTGCACACTCCAAACAGTGCTGAAATCTTTTTTCCATACTGAAATCTGAAGGGTCTCCTGTGAACTGTACTCAAGAGATCGAAGTGCAGATGTTTGAAAAAATGTTGATTTCAATTTGGGACCACACAGGAGGAAGTATGTTTTCATGGTTGCTACAGAATAACTAAAGGTATACTATAAGTTGCATAACAATTGCAAAAGTTATTTTTACATGGAACCAGAAGGCAAGCTTTAAACTTTGTTTCCTTCATTTCAGAGTTATTATGTCAAATAAAATAATGGCTTTTTTTCTTGTTACTTCTTACTGGCCAGGAAACTATAACTAATCCAGAATGCGGCAGCTAGACTGGTGACTGGGAGCGGCCGCTGAGACCACATAACACAGGTCTTGAAAGACCTACATTGGCTCCCAGTATGTTTCCGAGCACAATTCAAAGCATTGGTGCTGACCTTTAAAGCCCTAAACAGCCTCAGCCCAGTATACCTGAAGGAGCATCTCCAACCCCATCTGAGGTCCAGCTCCGAGGGCCTTCTGGCAGTTCCCTCATTGCGAGAAGTGAGGTTACAGGGAACCAGGCAGAGGGCCTTCTCAGTAGTGGCACCCGTCCTGTGGAACGCCCTCCCACCAGATGTCAAAGACGTTTTAATGTATTTTAAACCTTTTGCTGAAAGCCGCCCAGAGTGGCTGGGGAAACCCAGCCAGATGGGTGTGGTATAAATAAATAAATAAATAGTGGCAAAAACCAATACAAAAGTGGCAGGAACAAAAACAAAGGAACAAAAGGGGAAATTGACTCCCACCTCTAATGGTAATACAGTATTACCATTTTGTTTTCCAAATCTTGCTGTGCTGTGAAGTGGGATGGGATGACAAATGCCTACGGTTTGAGACAGGAAGCTGGAAAGCCTATCAGAGAAAAAGCTCCCTTAAGCGGTCTTCTCCAGCACAGATCCCTGTGTTGCAAAATCCACTCTTCTTCCTGCTTCAGTGGCGGAAAACAATCTACTTCCATGCTCCTCAATTGATGTTAAAAGGTATAACTCTATTAACACTTCCATTTAAAGTTCCATCTGAGATCCAACCCTGGGGACACATCCATGTAGGTGCTAATTTAGGGCTCCAGATAAGCTGCCTCAGCATATCCAATCTCCACGGCATAAATATGGCACAGAAATTCTCCCTGGTGCACAGCCAGACCACACAGCTGACAGGGACCAAAGCAGGACTGGTATATACATAATGGGCTTTCGCTTTCAACATAAGGGAGCCCCCTAGCGGAGGGAGAAGTGCCAGAGAGATGTCACATGCTTACAGTTAAGTTTTAGCATATGGGGGGGGGGGGGGAGGAAGAATGATATGCTACAACAGAAGCAAGAATATTAATTGCCAAAAATTAGAAAGCAGAATTAGTACAACACAAGAGGAGTGGCAGGATAAATTATCTGAATATCTCGAACTGGCAAAAATGACGGAGACAATTAGGAGACAGCCAAACCGAAAGTTCAAAAAGGAGTGGGAAATTTATAAAGAATATTTTTTTAAAAAAACACAACAACAACAGTGCCCTCAAGTTAAAACCTGGACATGCTTTGATCAATTTTCACAAACCACAATATGGATTATAAGTACAGTATTCAGATAACAGAAGAAATGGTGAAATGATTAAAGAAGCAGTTTATTAAACAGATAATAAGACAGACCCGCTTTGAGGAAGACGGAAGTCTAATGGGGAAGATAAGGAATTGGGAATTAAGAACATGGTGGCATAAGTTCTTTTGTAAGAACGTATGGATATATGGATGTTTTTTCGTTATTATTTTATCATTTTTGTTAATTTCTTGTGTGCGTTTGTTAAGTAAGAAAACTAATAAAAAGCATATTTTTTAAAAAAGTTAAGTGTTAGCATTACAAACTGAATGGAAGACACCAGGCAGAATTGCCCTAGCAATCCAGTTCAGTGGATAACACTGGAAAAGTTTGCTTTGGATTCCAGCTTCAGTGTGATCTCAGTGAGAGGCCTTGTGCAAAGGACTATGAGCTGCTGTTAACTCTGTGCTGTAGAATCCCATTGGGTCATTTTAGCAATGAAATAGGTATGGCAGGTGGCTTGGCTCTGCGGGTGCATTCCACCAAGCCAACATTCCCACCACCTTTGCACTTCCCCTAAAGGTGGTGTAGTCAGTGGTTCAGTTCCACCTGCTGAGCTGCTTCTGAATATATGACAAATGAAATAATAAAGGTGTTTTATGCGACCACTCACTCTCAAGCCAATGGGATTTAATGGTGACACACGATTTAATGGACATAACAGCGGCGTGCTGTACCAAATGTAGAGAATGGTCAAAAGTGGTAAATAATAGCAACAACAGCAACAATAAAAAAAGTCAGCCTGCACTATATTTGCCTAAAAGTGATGCCAAGGTAATACTATAAAACTTTGACAAGGCAGATTCCTTCTGGATGATGCGGGACCCAATCGAAAGAGCCATGTGGCAGTAGGGAATTTTAGCTCCCATTTACAAAAGCAGACTCCATTTTGTCTGTCTGTTTAGGAGCAGTCTCCAATTCAGACGTAGTCTCCATGGCAGTAAAATGATATTCTGCCAAGGTTACATCTCTCTGTCACACACATACCCCAGTATACCCGAGAATTAGCAACATACAACTACGCAACAATATGCAATTTACAGCAATGGGCTTTTCGGCAATGCTTGGCCGCTGCACAGAATCTGCCGCTTTCCCAGAAATTTCCACGTATTCATGACTTGGCTGTTACTCACTCAGATTCTCTAGAAGCTGCTTGCAGTCATCGGTGGCAACATCGTGCAGGGTTTGGTTGCATTTATCTTCCCTCTCAGCCTCTAGTTCCCCGTGGCTACACAAGACTTCTAGGCAACTCTGGGAAGATAAGAGCAGGAGGGTTTCAATGAATTAGCTTGAGCTGAAACGAAGTTATTACCTGGATGCAGCTTTTATAGTGTCCCTTAAAATACATACTTCCAAACACTGAGAAATTATCTATTAAGAGGTTTGGTTTTCTGATGGGGAAAACTTTGACCAGGAGATCCCCTCATTTAATGTTTTCCTAGTTTGAATATGTAAATCTGAATTGGGAGTGGCTATGCAAACTCTGGACTGGATGAGGGCTGATAAACTGAATTTAAACGCTGACAGGACAGAGACTCTCTGGGTGAATGGTCCGGGATATAGTTAGCTGTTCTGGATAGGATTGCACTCCCTCGGGAGGAGCAAGGATGAAGTGTGGGGGTGTTTTGTGTCTGGAGGTGCAGGTGGTCTCGGTGGCTAGGAATGCCTTTTACCAGCTTCAGTTGAGAAGATAGCTTAGGCTTTTCCTGGCCCAAGAGAGCTTGGCTACGATTTGCATTGGCAACCTCAAGACTGGATTACTGCAATATGCTCTATATCAGGCTTCTACTGAGTTTCACCTGGAAGCTGCAATTGGTGCAAAATGCAGCTAGGTTGTTGGCGGAGGTATCCCATCAACATCGTATAAAACATCTGCTGAGGGAGCTTGCACTGGCTGCTAAAATGCTCCTGGATGCAGCTCAAGTTGAGCATTTAAAGGTAAACCGGGTAGCCTAAGGGACTGCCTTGCCCTTATAAAATTCGTGCCTTGCAACTGTAATCTTCCGACAGGGCATGGGTGAAATGGCTAATGCACCCAGCCATGTTTTTGGTACTATGGAAGTCACCGTCCTCAGCCACACCCTCACCTGCCCTGCTGTGTACCCTGCCTAGAATGTTTTTGCCTGGCCAGAATGTGCCGTTGAACTCTTATAAAGCTTCCTGCTCACCTGGAGGGAGGACAGAGAGCCATGTGAAGAAATGAGCCTACTGGGCAAAGGTGAAACCCACAAGTACAGTATTGCTTTGCCTTCTTCTGCTTCTGCCCTGCCCATCATAGGCATGTGGGCCCTGGAAGGTTCTCAAGAAGGGGATGTAACGCTCAGGCTGAAAAAGATTCCCCCAGCTCTATGTGGATGTCTCCTAAGTGAGAATGATGGGGTTCCCTACGCATGTTTCTCCTTTCCAAGTGCTTAGTGCCTATAATTGAATTAGCCACTTAATGAAAACCAGTTCATGGTTATAAATCTGATCTAAATTTATAACTTAAATCATAGCTAGAAGCTTCCCACTGGCCACAAGAACTGTGCCATCTGCTGCAAACTGTACAATCTGCAAAATCGGCTTCTGTTATCAGGTGTCTTTTCCCCCAAGGATATCACGTGATGCCAGCTGTAGTGGACAGCTAAAAACAATGCTAAATCAGCTAAATCATATCCAAAGGTCAATATAATCTAGAGTTTTGTTTTCAACAGCGTTCACCTAAGAACGTTCTCCTGATAGGCATGTGAAGTTAAGTACCAAGGCATGGTGGTGGTAATAATCCTATTATTTAATCCCAGCATCTGAGACCCAAACATTCTGAGTGTGTGTGTGTGTCACATTTTTGCTTCTTATGGTTAAGAGCTATCAATAGCCCTGCCCATAAAGTTGTTGCTATCTTCCTTGGGTTCGTGTAACCCTTTCCAAAATCACCCAAGGTCCAATCCATATGTTACCTTTGCAGCATATGTTTCACAATCTGTGATGGTCACTGCCCTCACCACTGCCACCATAGGGCCTTTTTTTTAGTGGGGACTCACTGGAATTCTCAGGTAGGCACCACTGCCATTCTAAGATAATGAGGGAGGCGCTCATGGTGAGTTCCGGCACGTCTTGTCTAGAAAAATAGCACTGACTGCCATCAACCCTAATGGAGGAGACATCTTGACGTGAAGGTTCTCACATGATGTAGACAGAGGAGGAATGGTGGGGATTGCCCCCACCCTTCTTCTGAACCTTCCCGAGAACAGGAGGACAGTATAGATTTAGAACAGTGGTTTGCAGAAGGGCAAGTTCAGAGGCTGCAGAGGGCAGAAGCTGGGAAATACTGGAAGAGGAACAGCAAGAAGAAGAAGCACCGGGGAGAGATAGCTGACAGACTCAGTGTTTTGGGAAGCATTCCTTACCCCGCCCCTCAGGACCATGCTTTCATTGAGGGTAGTAGAACAGAGAGCTCAGCAGCAGAAAGCTCAGATTAGCTGACGCAGGGGTGACGTAGAATAGGGGAGACGTAGGGGGGTGGGACTTTACTTGGAGTTATGCCATTATTTAGGGAAGGCTGCATTGCTTGTCGCTCTCTGTGAATTATTGAATAAATTGCTTGGTAAGAATTTATATCGTTTCTCTGATTCTTGGCTGCCACCATGGGAGGGATCAGATTCCCCAAAGCCTGACACCCTGCAGCAACGGATCTAAATAATATTGATCTGATCCTGAGAGAAATTTACAAAAACGTATTGGAGGTACCGTATTTTTCGCTCTATAAGATGCACCAGACCACAAGACGCACCTAGTTTTTGGAGGAGGAAAACAAAACAAAAAAATATTCTGAATCTCAGAAGCCAGAACAGCAAGAGGGATCACTGCACAGTGAAAGCAGCAATCCCTCTTGCTGTTCTGGCTTCTGGGATAGCTGCGCAGCCTGCATTCTCTCCATAAGACGCACACACATTTCCCCTTAGTTTTTAGGAGGGAAAAAGTGAGTCTTATAGAGCAAAAAATACTGTAATTTGCGACCCCCACCCCCGAGATTTCGACTGCCTAGGGGCCTCCACAGGGTTTAATCTGGCACTGGTACCAATGCAACAAATGGAGTCAACCATGAGAGTGTAGTTTTACAATGGCCTCAATGAGAACATCTGGTCTGGGTCAATTCTCATGGGCCATAACCATCTCCTGTGACAATGACTTTCATATGTTAATCGTGTACTGTCAGAAAAAAGAACTTCTATGTGCTTGTCCTGAAACTTTTGGCAAACAATCTAATGGAATGATCTCAACTGTTTTCAGTTTATTGTCTATTAATATTTCCAGTGCTCGTATTCTAGGAACGTCTTTCATATCTTCCTCACCTGCTATGCAGTCTATTAAAAAAAAAAGCTTTATCAGCCCTTTCCTCATTGTTTTATAAACTCCTTGACGAATGTGAAAAACACAGAATTGACTGTATCAGTCGCGCACACACAGCCAGTGGAACAGTGACTTAATCTTGATACCACGTCGCACTTAACAATCTATTAGGCAGGCTGACTGACCTTAAAGCCTTTTGACGCTGCTATGTGGGCTGCAGTCCAGCCGTCTTTGTCAGCGTGGTTGATGAGATCTGCAGAAACAATGGGCTTTGCTTTACGGTTACAGCTGTCAACCCCACACTCCAAGTCAAAGAGGCACGAATTAGCATCTGCTCCATTCACAAAGTTTCCATCTTCCGGCTTTCCGTAGTACATAAGAAATCTTAGGCAATCAACATTATCAGCATCGACAGCAGCATGAAAGGGTGTCCAGCCATCCTGCAGAAACAAAAAAACGGGGGGAGCTCAAAAACAACTTCAGCCTGCCGAATGGATATTTACGAAATTTATGTGTTTTGCAAAACCTGCTGTCTGCTATCTAGCTGAAGCAGTCAATAGTGTCTGGCTGTAAATGTTTTGACAAAGGCAGCCCATCTGTTATATCCTCAGACAACTGTATGTACTGGTACATAATGAAAAAAGGGGTGTGAAGTACTTCAGCTCTTCCTCTGAAGAGTGCTGGTGGATGTTCCTGCTTCTAGACTGAGAGGGTTCTAGACTGACTGGGGGGCGAAAGAAGTGGGGTCAATCCTTTCCAAAGGATGCTTTTAGCAGTATGATACCAAAACATAAAAAGACCCTGGCAGAGAAGGCTGATGTAACTGTTACTGGAGTTTTCTCAGATGTCTTATCCCTTTCTTAGCAAATCTGTACAGTTTTATATAAGCACACCTCTTTAGCTCTGTGCGGTATTAAGTCTTTCCTACATTAGCATAACAAAGCGAGCACAGCTGCTCTGCAAAACCATTTTCAGTCCTTAATTTCTTTTGATGTATTTATTTGGAATCACCAACATCCAAACTTGTATCTTTTTCTTATTATTATTTCCCCCTCTAAGTTATCATTACATTTGAGCTCACTATACAGTCCCCCCCCGCTTCATTTAACTGCAAAACAAATTGTAAGCACGTGCCTTACTTCCAATATTCCTTATTTTGAAAGTATATATAGTACTAGTTCTCTCCCCAGCCCCTACAGGCTCAATGAGAATATCATTTTGCTAATGCATTTCCCTGCTTTTAGGGAACCCAATTCTAAACACGGAAGAAAGTAGTAAAAAAATTCATATATCTACATCTATACTCTTTCAGACCAACTCCTGACGGCCTTGTGGGTCTTGGTTTCAAACAAAAGTAAGTAGTAATGGGCTCAATTGTTCACTGCCCCATTTGACCAAATGTTAATGAAAGGAAAACACATCACTCTCATTCCTCTCTGCCATCCTTTACAGCATGGGTAGGCAAACTAAGGCCCGGGGGCCGGATACAGCCCAATCGCCTTCTGAATCCGGCCTGCGGACAGCCTTCTGAATCCGGCCTGCGGACAGTCAATCAGCGCGTTTTTACAGGAGTAGAATGTGTGCTTTTATTTAAAATGCATCTCTGGGTTATTTGTGGGGCATAAGAATTGGTTCGTTATTTTTTTCCAAAATATAGTCCGGCTCCCCACTGAGGGGAGGTCTGAGGGAGTGTGGACTGGCCCATGGCTGAAAAAGTTTGCTGAGCCCTGCTTTACAGCAAGGCTAGCTCAATAAATTTTACAGGGGACCACCAAATGGTGCAGACACAGTGTTCGAAACTGAGCTATGAAAGCTAGGAGCTAAATGGCACCTTAAACCTAGGTTATGGGCGCAACAATAGAATGTTTAGCCCTTTTATAAAAAAAAATAACAGTAATACAAAGTTGAAAATGAATGAACTGCAGCTAAAATATTATGTTCATTTTTCACATGGTCTAGTCCCTCCCTTTCCTACTCCCCTAATATTCTTCAGAGGGTCTCTTTTCCAGTCTTCAAAGGGCAGCTGGAAGTGGGGAGGCAGAAAAAGGTCCCCCTTTCCTTCCACTCTGCAGTTTTAATCTGAAATCTTAGGCGCAGCACTGCGCCCAGAGCTCAGAAACTGCTGGCGCTGATGAAATTCCTGGTCACAAAATGCACCTAGAACAATGCGGGTTTCGAACTCTGTGCAGACACCTCACCCCCACCAAACCATGCTGCATAGTACTTAAGGCTTGTCAATGTATTTTGGCATCTGTGGCAGAAAACTCTCCAAAAGCCTCTCCCTCCCTCTGGCAGTAAAAAAAAAAAATAAAAATAATAACGAGCAGTATGCTGTCCTTACATGACAGCCAGAATCAACTGCCTGAGGCAGAAGCTTCCCTCTTTCTAATGGCAGGAGTAGCCCTGGCATATGGCCATGAAATCCTGCCCGTGGAAATTGGTCTGCATTCTGGCAAGACGTATATTTTGTGTAAATAAGTGTCGCATCACAGGCGATTTCACATAAAGCAAAGCAAGGATCTGACAGGGGGTGGTGAGCAGGGGCCACACCCCAGTTAAGAAATCAGCAGTCTGAAAGAGAAGAGTGGAACTGGACTATTTAGAGAGAGGGCAGCTGGGTTGTTATCAACTGCATTACACCTGCTTGAATCAGAGATTTCTGAGAGCTCTTTCTGAGGCATTGCTTCTAAACAGATCACCTTCCAAGGCCTGCATCTTAGAACTTATTGATCCATGGTTCGAGAAATGAACTACCGACCCACAATCAATTTAACTTGGACACAGATTGAAATTATGACATTAATTTAACACGGATGACTTAACCCCTGTAGCATACGTCAGTCAAATTCCCTAGGCAGCAGACTCAAGAGTATAATCCCACACATGCTTACTCAGAAGTATTCCTACCAGTTGTTCAACTGAAACAAACATGAACAGGAAAACAGGTACAGGACTGCAGTGCCAGAGTGTTGCAAAGATTCTCATACGTATAAAATGAAACACAATTATTCAGGCTTACAAGAACCCCTCTATAATATTTTCAACATCCAGTTTTATCCCTGCTCTCCAGAAAACAGCACTGCTGCTTACCCAGTATATGAAAAAGACCAACTTTTGTAGCCCACCTAGGGCACAGATGTAGGAATGGAGGACCACATGGGACTTCAGACATGGGGATTATTGCATTAGTTTTCCTGGTTATAATGCTAGCGCTTCTCTCCCAGTATCTAATGTTCCTTTTGCACTGCATGACCTGCTGTGTTATGGAACTGGGCCTTTTTGATGGATCTACTACCAGGTTGAGCTAAAACGTATTCACACCAGAGGGCATTGTTGGATTTGTCATCCTGAAACTGCAACCTCAGCCAGTGTGGTGTAGTGGTTAAAAGCGGTAGTCTCGTAATCTGGGGAACTGGGTTCGCGTCTCCGCTCCTCCACATGCAGCTGCTGGGTGACCTTGGGCCAGTCACACTTCTCTGAAGTCTCTCAGCCCCACTCACCTCACAGAGTGCTTGTTGTGGAGGAGGAAGGGAAAGGAGATTGTTAGCCGCTTTGAGAATCCTTCGGGTAGTGATAAAGTGGGATATCAAATCCAAACTCTTCTTCTTCTTCTTATGCACATGTGCACTTCTCTTCCCCATGAAAACAACAGGAAGAACTGTATGCTGGGATACTGCCCCAAATTTCATCATGTGAGCAGCAGTGGTGAGATCCATAAATACTGGGGAAATGCAAAACTTCTGTGATTTTCTAGATTACTGTGATTGCAAACAGATTTTTCTCTGGAAGCAATTAACATATGAGAGCTAAATGTCCACGAGATTCCACTAGTTTTCCAGAAGTGGCTGTTACGACATGTGAAAGATCACATAAAGCCTAAAAATATCAGGTGAGGAAACAGAATAAAGTGCTCTCTGAAGGCAGCCCTAGGGCTGGCATGTATAAACATCTTTGAACCACCTGTTCCACAGATCATTTCCAAACTGACCAAATCTGTCTTGTTAAGCAAGGCATGTCTAGGGACCTTTGCTTATTAAATGGCACAATGAGTGATAGATATGTTTCTGAACCATTTCTGGATGAAATTGTTCACAAAATTAACAAGGACTATGATAAAAGCTGCATTTACAAACCAGAGATCTTCAGCCTTATGCAAATGAATCCGAAGCCACGATGCCTTTAATACAGAACCTGTTCTGCTTCTGTTCCATTTCACATTTCTATTTCGCTCTCTGATTTCTGCTGTGATCTTCTACCACGTCTTTGAGTGGAAACAAATGCTTCACTCAATATACACAGATACTTATAGTGACAGAGCAACAACCCATCCAACCTAACACTGGACAGTTCAGTCAGTACTGAGAGACACATTGGAAATATTACCCCAAATTTTATGTATAGTATGCTCCATTGAATGTAATGGGCAAATTATTATTATTATTATTATTATTATTATTATTATTATTATTATTAATACCCTGCCCATCTGGCTGGGTTTCTCCAACCACTCTGGGCTGCTTCCAATAAAAGATTAAAAATACATTAAATATAATTTGAACAAGCATAGTATGTTGTCACATCAGCAACAAGAGTAATTTATGTGCCTATAGCTTTGAATTTCAAACTGTGTTACTGGAAACTTAGCAAATGTTTCTTGATAGAAAAAGGATAATGGTAGACTAACTTCTTGGGAGATAGAGGCCACATGATACACCCCAAGCTTGTGTGTCCCCATGCCCCAGTCTCCTCTGTAGCAATCCAGAGGTTTGTGCTTCTGTTTTGATTAATCACAGCTTGCCATTTCATCAGGGCCCTGCAAACTGTAGTTTACAAAGCTGGCTTCTTTCAATAAACCATAGGTAAGATTCGCCACAGTTTAAGGTTTATATCGCTAAACTGTGGTTAATCCAAACTGGAAGTGAAGGCTCCCAATCTCCTTTTTGTGGCTACACTAGAGGAGAAGAGGCAATGGAGGAGGCTAGAATTTTTCCTGTCAAAATACGCCAAAAAGAACTCTTACGTCCAAATGCTGCCAACACGTCCATCACTCCCCCAGAAGCACAGAAATAGTACTGGACATGTTTTAAGATATCTGCCTAATTTTCAGGGGATGATAGCTAAGGATGATATGAACCAAGAGTACATCCTGAACTCTCCAGCAAAATTTGTAGGAGTTGTGCAACAAACGCCCTAACAGTACAGTGTTTTAAAACCACTGCTATATAATATTCATGCACTGAAATCATTCCTTTAAAAACATATGAATGAGTCCTTAGCTGGAAACGTAATTTGATATATGGATATAGGAATGGCGGGTGGTAATAAATTGGGATGATTTATCTGCTTCTTTGTTATTAGGAACAAAATATTTCTGCTCCTATATTTTTAACATATTTCTGCATCTTCCAAAGTCCAAACAACAGTGAGGTGTCAGTTTCTTTATATTCATTTGTTGTATGTTAATTTCAAAGATAGAATAAGAATCTTCCTTATTTAGTCTGATCTATTACTCTCTCAGAAGTTCCTTTTTTAAAAAAACCCAAAAGAATCCTCAGGTTTTTTTACCACCCCTTTGTAGACTGTTTCCTCTGCAGGAAGAACAAAAGCAATCTTCTCCTAAGCAAGGTGTCCTAGCTTTTGAATCAGAGACAAGAAAAATCTCTAATGAAGTTGACATCATGGAAAACAAGAGCTTATAGGAGCAGGATGTGAGTAACAACTGCTTCAGATTTCAAGTCTGTGAGGCAGGATGACAGGAAAGATAATTATTTCAGAAATCTTATGGGGAAATAAATAATTGAATGCAGTTGAAGGCATTTTACAACGGCACACAACCATATAAATGTGAAACCTTCCATTAATTCCAAAGGATTTCATGCGCTACAGCAGTTAAGATTATGAACAAATGCCTCAACAGAAGCCATTTTGACACACAGCAATGCAGCCGTTAGGGTTATTAATATATGCCTCAACCGAAACCATTCTGAAGCAGCTCACTCCTGCTCTTCTTGAAATGTTGACTTTGAAAAATGGGCTTTTAAGACTTACACAGGTTTCTGCACTTCTGTCTGCTCCAGCTTCCAACAAGAGTTTGACACATTCATTATTTCCGTTTCTACAGGCCAAGTAGAGAGGTGTCTCTCCCTTTTCAGCAGCGTGATTAATGTCAGCATGATACATGATTAATAATTCTGCACATCTAGGGACAGAAGCATTGGACATGTTAGTAGAATACCTGACCTGGAAAAGACATGACCTTTAAAATGCCATTCAGCTACAATACCTTCTCCAAACATATATTTCGATTATACTGCATCAACAAAGGTAATTGCCTTAAAACCATTATGATCAGGGACACATATTAAATCCAAAATCGGTGCCTGGATACTGAAAAAAGGCAAATTCTCTCATCCAGTTATTTGTGGAGACTTCAGCTAATGACGTTTTAGGAATATGTTGCAGAATATTTGAATTATAACAAGCAAACTGGTCAATTTGTGTTCGCACATGTCTCCTTAGCTTATTAATATGGCATTATTTATTTGTTTTATTTATTTAAACAGATTTCATGAAGTCCTGCCTTTTTAGGGTGTTCACTCTTCCAAGCAATTAGCACGTGTTATGATTACAATAAAAATAATAAAAACAGGAAACAACAACATTAAATTAGCAGCAGTAGAACGGACCACAGTGCTGTAAAACCAGGCTGCATTTTTTGTTGATAAAAATAAAATAAGGTCTCTTCTAAAAGCCAACAGAAAGTAATCTATGCATATTTCTCTGTGAAGGGAATTCCACAGATAAGTGACCACTATACCTGACACTAGTATTCATCCATCTAATAGCTCTCTGAGTGGATCAGGGAACAAGGCACCGGATGCCAATTGTAAATCTTGGGCAGCTGCATATGGGCAAGTACCAATGCAAGGAAAATTCAAGGGCAGGAAGCAGGGGTGCCAATAAAATATTGTGGGGGAGCAGGTAAGCTCTGCCCCACATAATCAATCATATGATGCAATGCACACACACCATTTGAATAGGAATGCCCATAACTTTGTGGGGGCCTGGCCCCCTAAAATATTTTACTGAGGGGGGGGTGAAGCCCCCACGGCCCCTACAAGTTGGCTCCTATGACAGAAAGCATGCTGCCGGTCCCAGCAAGTAACAGAAGCACAAACTCCAGATATCAAATTGAGAAGTGTATTTCCAAAGAGATGCAATGAGGCCTGGCTAAACAGGAAGGCCTTTGAGATAGTGGCCATGTGTGTTCAAGAGTCTGTGAAGTGTGCAAGTCCGCGTGTGACAGGGTTCAACATGGCAGCTTCTTCCATGAACCCTGTATAGTCGGGATGTGTGGAATGTTAAAAGCTTTTGGTACAAGCATCTGATGATCAAAGCAATAAAAGCACAAGTTACAGGGTCAAAATCATGTCTTCCCAATGGAAATTCCGCTCACACAAGCCAACACCTGGTTTTGGTTGCAACCCAACTCCCTCATCTTCTGACCCTGAACTGGTCACAACCGGATAGAATTCAGATTACCTATATATAACAAATGCATCCACTCTTGCCTTTGCTCCTTCTGGATTCTAGGAAAACATTTTATTGAATTTTATACTTCAGGTAATTAGAAACCTTTGTTTAAGAACAGCACATTTGGCACTGTTCATTCTGGTAGGCAGCAATCTCCTTAAATCTAAATGGCTTCACTGCAATATAATATACAGGTAATTCACAGGGGTTATGTTCTGGAGATTGCACACAAAGCTGAAATCGTGTATAGTCAAAACAATCCTGGAACTGTCCCTGTGCGAGCATCCCTACCTTTCTGAAGCTGGTGTGCTGAGCAGGACTTGCCTTCACAAAGCAGAGAGCTTAAGCACTCTTTCTGCAGCAGGAAAACCTGGTGCAGAAAGAGCGTTTAAGCTCCCCGCCTTGCGTGTGTTTAGTTTGTGTGATTTCAGCTGGCTAGTAGGTAAAGCACTTAAAGCTGAAATTGCGCAAGTTAAAAGTACCTATGTTGCGAGTTACCGGTACCTGTATATGTAGAATGCATCTTGTTCCTTTTTAAGACCTCATTTTTTGATAGAGACTGAGGGCAGGGGGGAGAACTAGGCGTTTGCAAAACTGGGGTGCCCAAAACTGGGGTGTCAGGACAAGCAGAACAGATATGCAACAAGAGAGGTATGGTAAGAAAAGATTTAGGCAAGGAGAGGAGGCAAAGTGTTAGAAAAATTAAGAGGGACTGATAAATAGGAGGAAAAATGAGAAGCATCAAAACATTTAAGGAACAGAAGCACAAGAATCCTTAAAACTGGTGGGAGGGAAAGCAGGAAGAAATAAGGACAGGGCTGTCTGAGATTAAAAGGAAATGAAGATGAGAGCAAAAGCTGCAGAAAGAATTGAAATGTATGTAAATGAGCAGGGGTTATAGGTACAAGTTTATGGTCACAAGAGAGCACATTGCTCTCCAAATGGCAGGAAGTTGAGATCAATTCCAAGTCTCCTCTCAACTGAGTGCTGAACTCTGGGGCAAAATCTGACAAGCCACCAGACAAGATGGCAGAAGTGACACTTTCCACTGAAAGGATGTTATCTGTAACTGGAATAACAGGGTCGCCTCAGGTCAGGAATCAGTCTGATTGACAGCCCCACAGGAAAACCTGCACCACACCTGTCTGAACTATGTGGAGTTCTAGCCAATATAAATAGCATCTCAGTCATTTAAATGCCAGATTTCTGGGGCGGCAATAGTATCTGCTAGGGTGGCAAGGAAAAATAGGGCTGCCATATGTCTGAATCTGAAAGCTGGAACTGACATCCAGGGGGAATTTACGAAAGGTGGCACTTTGTCCTAGATCTTAGGCAAGCCAATCGCAAAATTGCGATTTTGTTAAACAAAAGCTCGACAACTTTCGGGGTACCCTGGTTTTTACTTTTTTGGCAACCCTAGGAAAACAGAACAGCAAAATTTGCAGGAGATACCATCTATAAGATTGAATGCACTCATAGACACAATCAAATCATCAGTAAAATATGGATCTCTGAAGTACTATTAGAATTAATCCTATTCAAGTCCAGAGAGGATGGATGGATACAAGATTACCTGAAAAGAGCTGATATCAGCTCTGTTTTTCTACAATCTTTCATAGAATAGTGAAAGAGTTTCATTTAGCAAGAAATGTAAAGTATTCAGCAGCTATGAAAGGCATATCTTGAAAGTCACTTGCTCCTCTCACAACAACATGCATACTTGTCCCATTATACTACCCCACATTCTTACTGCTCAGAGCCTTCAAAATGAAAAGGGATATAAACATAAAACAATCGAATTATCGCTGCAAAGGCTCTGGTAGTACAAACGGAACAAATAAAAACTAGTATCAGCTTATTTGCATTTGTTGTTTAGTCGTTTAGTCGTGTCCGACTCTTCGTGACCCGACCAGAACACGCCAGGTCCATGCTTATTTGCATGCGATTGATGCAATCAACAAACCACAAGCCTCCTCAACATTCTCTTATCACAATAATTGTAATGTGGGAAGGATATTCATGTCAGACATGGGTATGTCCATTAATGACTACATGATTTGGCATTCACATTATCTTTCTTGTAGGCCAAAGTACCGTATTTTTCGCTCTATAGGACGCACGTTTCCCCCTCCAAAAATGAAGGGGAAATGTGTGTGCGTCCTATGGAGCGAATGCAGGCTTTCGCTGAAGCCTGGAGAACGAAAGGGGTCGGTGCGCACCAACCCCTCTCGCTCTCCAGGCTTCAGGCAGCTATCTGCAAGCCTGCGGAGTGCTCCTATGGAGTGAAAAATACGATAACCCACCCAATGCACACAAGCTATTTTTTTATATAGAGGAGGGTCTTGAGTGTAAGCTCCCAGGATAGGAAATGGCACTAAACCCAGAATAAAATGCCGAAAGGCTAGAAATTTCAGCATGTTTTCTTAGAGCTAACTAATCAGACTTACTTTCAAGTAAGAGTAGTAAGGCTCTAAGTTTTATTTTACTTTTTTGGTGAGGGGGAGGATATCAGATCACTAGTTTGCAGAGAAGAAGAAGAAGAAGAAGAAGAAGAAGAAGAAGAAGAAGAAGGAGGAGGAGGAGGAGGAGGAGGAGGAGGAGGAGGAGGAGGAGGAGGAGGAAACATGAATTCAGCAAATCTCTTTAAGCAGACTGTTAAAGGAAGGTCTCTTACCCCTTTTTCAATTATAAGTGTGAAAGCTCTGAGAGGCTCACATTAGAGAATCTAGCTCACAATACTATACTTCTCCTATTTCTGGGGATATTTAAACAGTTTCTCACACCTTGATAACAGTGAGGAACTGATTTGCGGATAACTTCAGCTTCCTCACCTTACCGGCCAATCCCAACTGCCCCCCCCAAAAAATTTATATCCTTCCATGGTTAAATATAGTACACAGATATTTCTCACAAGAAAGCAGCTTTTCAAAATTGTAATGTATTGCTTCAGTCAGTTACCATCAAAGTCCTACAAAAGTGTGCCTTTATTCCGTTTCCTCAGGCACTGCGTTAAATGAAACATCCTTGCTCTTTGACATATTATACCCCAACTGAGGGGGCTTTTTCTGTAGGCAGACCACTTTTTGAAGGATCAAAGGCAAAATATCAATGAACGCAATTTCCCCATCAGCTGCCAGCACATGCTTTTCATTTAATTTTTGTGCTCAAAGAAATGGTTGATAAGGCTTTCAGTAAAAGCTTGACCATAAATCCGTCCAGAGCTCCGGTTAAGAGATGCATTTTTAGAAGCCAAGACCCATTTTCCCCATTTGAAAGAACACTATTATTTATTAAATTTATAGGCTGCCCTTCATCTGTAGACCACAGGAAGGTTTCCAACATAAAAATACAAATATATAACTTAAAATGTTGCAGTATGAAGTATGAAAGCGAAACCTTTTTTGCAGCATGGCTTTATTGTAAACCATAGAAACTCGAGAGCTTTTTAAAAATCCCCAAACATCTCTACTTCTAACAGAAAATCTCATAATAATATTACAACTGAGGATTAGAGGCAGCAATAAGTCTTTAATTGAGTACGTTTTTCTCTCGCAGCTTGTGCACCCCAATACTTAAAAGATTACAAGGAATTCTGTGTCTGGAGAAACACATAATTGCCACGTTACTTACTTGCAATGTCCCTGAGCAACTGCTGAACACAAGGGTGTAAAGCCATTTTTATCAACAGGATCAACGTGAGCTTCTGAAGTCAGCAGCAATCTTACACAATCTAGGAGTTGGAAAACACAAAGGCATATTGATATATAAGAGGGAAGTGGCGGGGAGAGATAAGGGTCTGAAAACCAGAGAGCATTCCTCAGAAATTGTGCATCTACAGTATGTAACCATAAAAGTTCCTTTGGACATCTGGTTGTCCAACTGTTGAAACAGAGTGCTGGACTAGATGGGTCTTCGTATGTTCTTATCTACCAAAGGCAATATTCTGTATTGTGATGCCAGCTTGCTAGGTCACCTGGGCAAGGCAAACTTATCCCACATATATAGAGAGAGCAAATTAACAAAGTCTTCCCATTCACCAAGTTCTTTTTAATTTTTATTTTATTTATTAGATTTATATAACGCCCTTCTTCATAAGATCTCAGGGCGGTTCACAGAATAAAATACAGGATAAAAGCAAGTAAAAAATTAAAACAAAAGAAGCAAAACAATAACCTCCTCTTCCCACAGACACATTTAAAAGGCCGCAGAATATTATTGAAAAGAAACGTTTTCACCTAAAAATGCATAATGAAGGCACCAGGTGAACTTCTTTGGGGAGAACACTCCACAAACAGGCAGCCAATATAGAAAGAAAAACCTTTCTGAGCCTTTTAATGCTTTAGACTATACTGGAAATTTTGGATTTTGCTGTCACAAGATTTGGTGATGGCCGCTAGCTTAAGATGACTTAGTAAGTAGAAAAATCCACAAAGGAGATGTCTACTGCTACAAGTCATGATGGCTACATTCACACTCCCCATTCAGAGGCAGAATGTCATTTGCCAAGAAGAATCGATGGGAGAGGTCTACTACCTTCATGTCTAGCTTGTGGGAGACTTGTCACTGGCCACACTGGGAAACTGGCAACTGAAATGTTGGTCTAATCCAAAAGGATTCTTCTTATGTACCTCCAAGATTCCCTTGCAATCACTGCCTTCCTTATTGTGTCCGCCACCCCAATGGCTTTCTATGCTATCTCTTGCTCAAATCTGATGAAGTGCTTATAGGATTCTGAGGCTGTAAGTGTCCCATCCTGACCCAAGTGTAGACACATCTATGTCTACAGGGGAAGGAGACGAGTGTAGAAGGGCCGAAACCAGACCCCAGAATTTGGAGTTTGGATTTGATATCCCACTTTATCACTACCCGAAGGAGTCTCAAAGTGGCTAACATTCTCCTTTCCTTTCCTCCCCCACAACAAACACTCTGTGAGGTGAGTGGGGCTGAGAGACTTCAGAGAAGTGTGACTGGCCCAAGGTCACCCAGCAGCTGCATGTGGAGTAGCGGAGACGCGAACCCCGTTCCCCAGATTGTGAGTCTATCGCTCTTAACCACTACACCACACTGGAGCTTATGTGAGGGGCGTAATTGCTCCCCTGTGACTATACAGAAATATTAACGTCTCACACCAGGAGCTAATCTTAGGGCTGCAAGATCAAGTTGTTCAGGATCTGCACTGGTTCATGGTTTGATCCTGCCATTTCTCTCTGGAATACAGAGCAACAGTTCAGCTTTCCAACAACTTTGCTAAGCAGAGGGACAACAGCTTGCCCAAGGTCACTCAGTGAACTTTAATGGCCAACCACAGAGCAGAACCTGGATTTCTCTGCAACCACTCCTCTTTGCTGTCATAAATAAAATATCGAACTTGGTACTGGTATATTTCCTCATTCTGAAAACAAATCCAAATTGTTATCGTTGTGACAGCCCACTGAAAACCCCCAGCTTGTCTACCTCCTTGTGTGTCCCCCCCCCCCCCCGTGATCGCTTTCATTCTTTGTTTTAGGCAGAAGAAACACAGCTATCAAGTTTCTGTCCAAATTGTACTAGTTTCTCAGTGGACTGTTTTGCCTTCCTTCCAAACATATACAAGTCTTGAATATTCACCAGGAGTGATAAAAATTATTTGACCATAAAAGCTTTCCATTTGCTTAAACTGTGTTGAAATGTCTCAGCAATACTTTGATGTTAATACTGTTTTCTCCATATAATTTCAGAATGAAAGATCGAGGGCATGCCGCCAATAACAGTGGAATCCCAAATTCTCCAAGTGTACCTATTTTCCAGGGACAGTCCTGGATCTACAGAAGCTGTCCTGGTTTCTGATTTGATCACGGAATGTCATGGTTTTCCTTACGACGGCCCTATTTTCAGTGGAGAAATGTTGAAGGGTATGGCAGGATGCCCCTATTTTCATCAGAGAAATGTTGGAGGGTGTGGAGTTATGTGACCCCCCAAGCCAAGGAGATACGTAACTATACAACCTTTAAAAGACATTTAAAGGCATCCAAAGGATTTTTTTAAAAAATGTTTAATGTTTTATTATGTTTATATATGTTGGAAGCTGCCAAGAGTTGCTGGGGTAACCTAGTCAAATGGGTGGGGTATAAATGATAAAATTATTATTTATTGTTATGGAAAAGGATGTCCCCATTTTCATCAGAGAAATGTTGGAGGGTATGGAATCCTATAAAAGGTAAAGGGACCCCTGACCGTTAGGTCCAGTCGTGGCCGGCTCTGGAGTTGCGGAGCTCATCTCACTTTATTGGCCGAAGGAGCTGGCGTACAGCTTCCGGGTCATGTGGCCAGCATGACTAAGCCGCTTCTGGCGAACCAGAGCAGCGCACGGAACGCTGTTTACCTTCCCGCCGGAGCAGTACCTATTTATCTACTTGCACTTTGACGTGCTTTCGAACTGCCAGGTTGGCAGGAGCAGGGACCGAGCAACGGGAGCTCAACCCATCACGGGGATTCAAACCGCCGACCTTCTGATTAGCAAGTCCTAGGTTCTGTGGTTTAACTATACATGTCTACTAAAAAGCCCGACTCCCCGCAACAGTCCAGTGAGACAAACCCCTAGGTAAGTGTGCATAGAAGGAGTGGGAAACTTTTGCCTCGCAAGCCAAATTTGACCCTGGTTCCAGTTGGCCATTTGCCCCCAAGCAAATCCACCTGCTCCACACCTGACATTACATGTGTGTGATACTGCTTTGAAATCCTGACAATCATCACCTGATGTCACGGTGGCATCAGGCGATTAACTGCCCACCTGTCCAAAATTTGGCCAAGAGGTAGGCCCACTGACCTGACCAGTTTTCTCACCCCTGGTGCTGCAACCTTAGGCAACCCTGCCCTCGTATGCATGGGAATAAACCCCACTGAAATCAAGGGGACTTGCTTCTCCATAGCCATGTTTAGGATGTCACTGTTAAGTACGCAGGGTGGGATTCAATTAATGAGTCCTATTGGTGGAAGTCCTGCAAGAGGACTTCTGGTTGTGCAACGGGGGCTTCCCCCTATCTTCCCACACTCCCCAAAATGGGCTCAGTGGGAAGCCTAGAGAAAGGAGAGTGGGGATTGTTCTCTCTGGGAAGCCAAAATGCTGGTGGAACAATCAGTGGCGTAGCGTGGGGGTTGCCGGGGGGCCGGCCGCACCGGGCGCAACATCTGGGGGGGGGGCGCTCGCACTCGCAGCTCTCTGCCCCTACCTGGCTCACTCACTCTCTCTCACTTAGGGGGCGCAAATTACTTGCCTTGCCCCGGGTGCTGACAACCCATGCTACGCCACTGGGAACAATCACCTTAGCGCACTGTGGAATTCCTCCCCTGAACTACAAAAGCACATATAAACACAGCAGATAGTAAAGTCAGGGCACGGACAAAATCCATACCTGTATGTCCATTCATAGCAGCAGAATACAAGGCAGAATAGCCATCTTCACAGGAGTCGTTAATGTCCAGACCTTCTTCATTAAGCAGCATTGACAATAAAGTTACATTTCCCTGGGCAGCAGCTTGGTGAAGAAGGGTGGGCCTGCCACCCAGGGGGACAGGACCACCACTCATTAATAAAGGGGTTAGGGAGGGAGACCAGCCTGCGAGTTAAAAGCATCATCAATTAGAGAGAACACACATGAAGAAGTTAAAGCTGCACACTTTGAAAGCTATTTCAAAAGTTCTACAAATGAAAACAGATAACCTGCCGTTTCAGCACATATACAAAAATTAGCACAACTTTTTAAAAAATAAATAAATCCTGGATCCAAAGATAGCTTCAAATCACACACATGCTAACTGAAACAATTTCTTATTTAGGTAAGCTCAAGGAAACACTCCATCCACTTTTGGTACGGTGCCATTGCCTAGATTTTGGTTTTTTTTTTTAAAAAAAGATTATGTTTTAGTTGAAAAGCTAGCTCAAGTTATTTTGGTTTAAATTTAGCAAAAAAAATTTAAAAAGAGGATTGAGATAAACTTTGCATAGGTTTAAAGTTACATATGATTTTAAAGAGTCATTTTTATCAGTATTCTCTTAAGAAAATCTGCTTAAATCTATGCAAAATATGACAGGCATTTTAGTTGAAAGTACATTTAAATCTCACACGGTGCCTACTGTCTAAGCCTGCTTGTTACTCAGCTGGCCTAAACACTGCATAGAGTCATCTAAAATGTGGCAGCAGCACTGCAACTTCCTTTGTGTTTTACAGTAAGGACTAAAGAACAGCAATTAATTAATTACATCAAAATGACTGGCAAAAGCTTCCACATCGCCCAGTAAGAAACGCAAGCAACAGAACAGAATTTTAGGAAATTATAGGAGTTATCTTGGATAGACATTCCAGGTATCAGACGTTAGCAGCTTTAGAGGAGAGTTTATTAAGGGCATGAAGTCTGCTGTATAGGGTGCGGAAGACTTTGTGAACTCTTCCTTGATCAAAAGGCTGCAAAAGGAAATAGAAAAGGGATTTGAAAATAGATATCGCTTCTTGCAACTGTGGACTGCCGATCGACAAAGGAGAAATTCCAAAGGGATTTCCAACCTTTATTGAGGTTCGGGTTATAATCAGGTTATAACAACTGCCCACACTGTAAGCCAGGCATGAGGAATTTGAGGCTTTCCAAATGTAGTTGAACTACATCTCTGACCATTGGCCATGCTGGCCAGGACTAACTGGAATTAGAATCCAATGATATCTGGAAGGTCACAGGTTCCCCATCCTTGCTATAAGTTGGAAAGATCATGAATTTTAAACACCAGGCTTGGTAATATTTGTATTGTAAAATATACCGTATTTTTTGCTCTATAAGATGCACCGGACCACAAGACGCACCTAGTTTTTGGAGGAGGAAAACAAGAAAAAAATATATTCTGAATCTCAGAAGCCAGAACAGCAAGAGGGATCGCTGCGCAGTGAAAGCAGCAATCCCTCTTGTTGTTCTGGCTTCTGGGATAGTTGCGCAGCCTACATTCGCTCCATAAGATGCACACACATTTCCCCTTACTTTTTAGGAGGAAAAAAGTGAGTCTTATAGAGCAAAAAATACAGTAATTTCTATGGCCTCCCTGATGTAGAAAGTATTCTACTCTTGTTTTTCTCAACTTAACAGCCATTCATTAAGTTATCTATTTCCAACTATTGTAGGGTTTGGCTATCTCCAAAATTTTAAAAAGCTGCCATGAAGTATAAGCAAACCGACTCATAAACATTACACGTCTCAATAAAGACGGTGTTTAAAAGAGGAGAGATTTTTCTCGTAACAGAAAACAATCATTTATGCCATGGAAAATAATCATAAATGTATTAACTGAATTTAAAAGAAAAATACAGAAAATGGGCCATAGCAGAACTGCAATGGGTCTCATTGGTCTTGGACACTATATTAAGTGGGCAGCTACTGGCCAATGAGAAGGTTAATGGAAGGCACTAACAGACTGGGGGACAAAGCTAACTAATGGCAGAAGATGATGGACCAAAGGGAGTCAGAGGATTGGATGGGCACAAAGGTTAAGTGCAGGCAATAGGCAATAGAATAACAGCTCTGCTTATCTCCCTGGAGGTACTTACCTTGGGGTTATTCGGTTGCCACTAATGACAACATCAATTTCCCCCTCCTTGACCAATACTACTTTGCCACTAAACAGTTCAGGGGTGGACAGCACAGAAGGGGTGGACAGGATGGAAGTAGGGAGAAAACTCTCTCTAGGAAACTCCAATAGAGTTTCAAGGTCAGCCTCTCTTATTAGAGATGTCCCCACTATCACCCCTAGCCCAGCAGGCAAAAGGAGCCAAACTTAGAATTCTTGGTAGCCCAAGGAAGTTGCTTAGTTGCTTGCAGCACCAATGATCAACTACAATGGATCCTTAACAGAAAGGTTGGTTTGATTAAACATAAACACATGGTGTTGTTATATATTGTTGTTGTTTAGTCGTTTAGTTGTGTCCAACTCTTCGTGACCCCATGGACCAGAGCACGCCAGGCACGCCTGTCTTCCACTGCCTCCCGCAGTTTGGTCAAACTCATGCTGGTAGCTTCGAGAACACTATCCAACCATCTCGTCCTCTGCTGTCCCCTTCTCCTTGTGCCCTCCATCTTTCCCAACATCCAGGGTCTTTCCCAGGGAGTCTTCTCTTCTCATGAGGTGGCCAAAGTATTGGAGCCTCAGCTTCAGGATCTGTCCTTCCAGTGAGCACTCAGGGCTGATTTCCTTAAGAATGGATAGGTTTGATCTTCTTGCAGTCCATGGGACTCTCAAGTGTGTGTGTGTGTGTGTGTGTGTGTGTGTGTGTGTGATGAAGAATCCATTTCATCAGGTTCATGAATGGCAGGCTATTATAGGAAGTTGTGAATATTCAATAAAGGAAAGGAAGAAATAGAAAAAAAGGGAAGACTGAGAGAAAAGAAAATAGTTTTTTATATAGTTTTAATGATTTCCTTTCTATTTAAAGAACTACAAGTCATCACAGAAAGTTGGGAATATCATCTAAACTTTGCCAAAGAAAGAAAGAAAGAAAGAAAGAAAGAAAGAAAGAAAGAAAGACCTAGCAGAAAAAACGGATAAAATCTAGATGAAAGAAACCTTTATATTTTAACTAGATTGCTTCCACATTAGAGTCCTTTAACATTGCTGTGGCTTTGCTTTTCCCCAATTAGCTGGAAGAATAAAAATGGGCATTCCAGACAAGCAAAAACAGCATAGGTTTCCAGCAATTTTAATTAAGTTTCTTCACTGGAGGCCAACCCATTTTATTCTTCCTTGATGGGTGCAGGAATGGTGGTGAACAGCCTCTTAATTGCCCCTTGAATTTCTCACAGCACAATCCTATGCATGTCTACTCAGAAGTAAAATCCACTGAGTTCAAGGGGACTTATTCTCAGCTAAACATGTCTAGAACTGCAGCCTCAATGCCTTTTTGGGTTCCCATTGATGGGAAGAGGGTTAATTACTGCTTTTCTCTCAAACTAGAAAATAGTGTGTTCTCGCTATATAAAATATGAAAAGAAAAATAATTAGCATAAACCAGTAATTCTTTTTCTGGCCCATTTGCAAGACTAGAAGGGATACTGGGACAATTAAAGAGAGGCTATTCATGGTGAATTTAAGAGGTTATTCATCACTAACTCCCAGGGCCATTAAAAGCCTCAATGGTGTTTTGCTTATTCACACTGGACAGGTTGGTTTTGCGGTTGCATTTGTTTACCCCCCCCCCCGGCAAATCACCACAAAACCATTGGGGGAGGGAACATTAAAACTGCTGGAATACAATGGGCTGACTATGGCATTACTGGGTGTCTCTTTAGAAGTGAACGATGAATGGGGAATTCCTGCTAGTATGGAAGCAAACCTCATTTGTGTATGTTTATAATGGGACGCGGGTGGCGCTTGGGACGTGGGTGGCGCTGTGGGTAAAAGCCTCAGCGCCTAGGACTTGCTGATCGTCAGGTTGGCGGTTCGAATCCCCGCGGCGGGGTGCGCTCCCGTTGCTCGGTCCCAGTGCCTGCCAACCTAGCAGTTCAAAAGCACCCCCGGGTGCAAGTAGATAAATAGGGACCGCTTACTAGCGGGAAGGTAAACGGCGTTTCCGTGTGCGGCTCTGGCTCGCCAGAGCAGCGATGTCACGCTGGCCATGTGACCCGGAAGTGTCTCCGGACAGCGCTGGCCCCCCCGGCCTCTTGAGTGAGATGGGCGCACAACCCTAGAGTCTGTCAAGACTGGCCCATACGGGCAGGGGTACCTTTACCTTTACCTATAATGTTAAGCTAATCAGGCCTTGAGAGCTCTTGAGAGTCCCATGGACTGCAAGAAGATCAAGCCTACCCATTCTGAAGGAAATCAGCCCTGAGTGCTCACTGGAAGGACAGATCCTGAAGCTGAGACTCCAGTACTTTGGCCATTTCATGAGAAGACTCCCTGGAAAAGACCCTGATGTTGGGAAAGATGGAGGGCACAAGGAGAAGGGGATGACAGAGGACGAGATGGTTGGACAGTGTTCTTGAAGCTACCAGCATGAGTTTGACCAAGCTGCGGGAGGCAGTGGAAGACAGGAGTGCCTGGCGTGCTCTGGTCCATGGGGCACGAAGAGTCGGACACGACTAAATAACAACAACCAGGTCCAGCAGCACTGGCAGGAAGATGCACCCTGTCGCAGGCCTAATTCAAGGAGCCCTTTTACTGAACCTGTTAGACAATCATGATTATCTGGTTTATTTTCCTTTGGGTGTCGGGCTGGTAGAGAGAGAGTGTGGAGGAACAAAATGGAGCTTCCAGCAATAAGTACTTGATTTAGCACTTATTTAGGAATGGTAGCAATCAAATGTTGGGATGCCATTTGTAACTGTTGTTCAGATGTGGGTAGAGAGGGAAGGTTAAAGAGATTTTTGGCCATGGCTACAAACACAGACGAAAGCCATTTTCAGGAAAAGCTTTTGAATTCCATCTTAGCTTTTTAAACGAGTGCAATATCTTTTCAGTCATATAGATATTAGATAAAGTAGGTTTACTGTGCACTATAGCAGATCCGGATATTATTAATATTGCATTCACCTTCCTGGCAGAGCTTAAATTTTATCTTCTTGGTGAACTGCTTTACAAATT